GCACCAGATTTGAATGTGTTTTAAAAAAAACGAATAAAAAAAAACAAAAACAAAAACAACTTACCTAGACGCGGCGCCGGCAAAAACCAGCAGCGTCAACGGAGGCTCGCCGGAAAACAGAGGCTCGACCAACGTTGTCTTTCTCTTACTCCTTCTCGTCCTCTTTCTCTTTCTCCTTTTCGTCCTCTTTTTCTAATTTAAGCAAATGCACCGTTTTGGTCTTCGTCGGCGACGGATGGGTGACGACCGGTGCCGGAATCGGGACGGCCGGCGACGGATGTGTGGCCCCTTTTTCTATTTCCCTCTCTATTTCTCTCTCCTTCTCTTTCTTCTGTTTGTAGCTTTCCCTTCAATTGAATTTCGATTTTTTAGGTTAAGTCAATTTGGGTATTTTTTTAAAAAAGGTTTATAATTTCCGACGGAAATATTTTCCGTCGTAATTTTTTTTTACGACGGAATATTCCGTCGCAAACATATTTTCGACGAAATATTCCGTCGTAAAAAGAAAATTACGACGGAAAATATTTCCGTCGCAAGAATTACTACGGAAAATTCGTCGTAGACATTTAAATCCGTTGGAAAGTTGCGAGGGAAAAAAATCCGTCGTAATTTTTGAATTTTGCGACGGAAAAACCGTCCGTCGGAAGTGATCCGTCGCTATTTTGCCTATTTCTAGTAGTGCACGAGGATAAGGTGCTGTGCACCCTAAACACCATAAGGGAGTCGGGAATTCTGAATGGTGACAAAGTTGTTGTGGCTCCGTTTGGGGACGAGAACAATTAATGTTCCAGCAGATTAGGATTGTTAGGCAACAAGAATTCAGGGCTTATGGATGTCATTTAATATGCACTGTTTTATGTCTTATGCTATTATCTTTAGATGCGACCACTTCTTTTGTTTGTAATATAGTTAAGCAGTAGTTAGCGTAGTTAATGAACCTGCTTTAAGTGGTCGCACTGCGAAGACTCTTGTTGTCCTATGTAGGATGTGTCTGAACTACTGAGTCTTCATCTTTTGTGACTTTTGTTGTCCTATGTTGCATGTCAAGGAACTACTTTATCAATGTATTTTGTTGTCCTACCGTATTCTGACTTGTAATGGTAATAGCACTTTTGTTGGACTCCATCGTCAGTTGTCTTTCAGTTTGTTATCGAGGAATGCTTGAATTCTCTAGTCATTGCTCTTTATGTGAACTTGTACATACAGGCCCAAAGAACAAACCTAGAACACATAACTAAGAGTTGGACGACATAAAACAAACCTCCGAGCACACATAACATAGAGTTGGGCAAAGAACGAAGCACACATAACTTAGAGTTGGACAAAGTACAATCCAGTAGTTAGCCAAGTAGGAATTTTTGCCCATACATAACCAAGGTCACAACATAGTGCATACATAGAAATAGAGGTGGAATAAGACCAAACCTTTATTTGGGCAATTATGAAGGGAAAACATACAGGCCCAACAAAACATACAGGCCCAACAAAAGATACAGGACCAGCCTGTATACAAACAATCCTTTAAACCCAAACTATATACATAAAATAGAGGTGGAATAAGACCAACCCTGTATTTGGGCAATTATGAAGGGAAAAAATACAGGCCCAACAAAATATACAGGCCCAACCATTACACATATGCTAACTGAAACCAAGTGATCAGAGGACGTCCCTGCTGTTTCAAAGCTTTGCATGTAAAAAAAAAAATAATAAAAAAAACATAAATGTCACAGCAAACACATTAATTAACTAACGCTTACAACTGTCACTTGCAAATTACATCAAGGGTTCGAGTGGGAATTAATGACAGCAGTACTAACATTTCCTACAACAATATCCCATACATAACCAAGGTTACAACATAGTGCATACAATACATTTGTCATTGGCCTCATTGCAGACTGGCAAAAATATCAGATAGATAACTGTTCTTTTGTTCAATTAGCAAAATCTATACTACAAAATGTGTCTAGAGGTACAAAGCACTACTTGACATCCTATGAGCAAGCTCGTTAACAAACACACCCCTCCGCAAAAGTTTACTCCCTCTCCCATCATAGATGGAACCAAGCAAGAACTGAGCTGATCAAAGGAAAATGCATGTCTACAGCATTATCACCATACTAAAATACCTGCCAAAGCAAATATATGTGAAGAGCGTGAAAAACAGATTATGACGATTAATCAAGGCAGATAATCAATGTAAGGTACAATTTTTTTAAAAAAATGGAACAAGTAAATGCATCTTTTTCCTTCTTAGGCAGGAACAGGCAGAGTTTCTTACTCAGAAGCCAGAAGAGGTAGCTTAACAGCCCAAATAAAGGGGAATTGTACTAAAGGCATAAGAAAATGACATAACCTATAACAAGTTTAACAACGTTGGGGGGAAAGAGAATTTAGAATCCAATACAGCACATGAACATACGAAGGGCTCTAAGCAATTTTGAAAAGAAAACTAGAGAAATTAAGAATGAATTGAACCTGTCCAGATAGACATAAAGATCCAAAAAAAAAAGGGTAAATATTTATTTGTGTGGTTAGACAAGTGACACCACCCAAGGCAAACAAACAGATTTTTTGCAAAGGAAATCAAGCCTACTTTGCATCATAGCCAACAGGCCAAGATAGGTGCACCGATACACCTTCATCTAATAAGAACTCAAAATTCAGCACATTAAAACAATGCAGCGTCCTCCTTGCAAGAACTTCTGTATAGTACTATTGCCTCTCAAATGACCAACTCCATAAAATAAAGTATGGCTACACAGGAAATCCAGTAACAATACCAATTCTTTGAAACCCTAGGCTTGGGGTAAAAGTATTATTCATTCCATAAGCCAATCATAGTCTTCACAAACTAAGCATAAATATTTAATTTCAAAACATACAAATTGCAAAGAAGTCAGATGACTCAGATCTTACAAGAGCAAAATCTATACCTAAAACCAGACTCAATTTTACACCGCTGTAGAGATACAGTGATTGAGATTAAGGCTTTCATTGATTGTAGAGGTGACATACTATTGAGTATTGAATAAGGAAGTTAGTCAATGTGACTGGATGGGATAGTCTTTCAGGACAAACCTTACTCATAAACACCAATTCTTGACTCACAAAGCAATCACTCAAAACTTTATCCTAGATAAGTTTATTAGTATCTTCACAAACTAATAGGATTCCTGGCTGGTCAGATTTAGATGACTAAATTCTTGCAAAGCAAACAGAAAAAAGTTCAAAGAAATTAACACTCTCTCAAAAGTTCATACCTAAATACATTTATGATGGTGAATTTGTGATCAATTTTGATATTCTACATTTGTCATTGGCCTCATTGCAGACTGGCAAAAATATCAACTACCTAATCAAGAGCAGAGCAATCAAAAACTCACTATTCGACTACTTAAATCCAAATATTTTAGAAGCAAATAATGTCGATTTCAAAGGAATCACTAATATAAGAACATATGCAGAGTAAAATAAAATAAGCAGCAAACATACCTAAACCATTCCAGTAGTTTAATTACTGCTGTTGATTCTGAGGTGGCTGTTGAGAATTTGGAGGTGGTGGCATTCTACAATGAGGCCAATGACAAAGGTGTGTATTAAAAAGTGTCAGAAGGAACAGACCACCCCAGACCGTTTCTCATAGGAATGTCATCACCAACCAAAGCGTCGTCTTCCACAAAATCGTAATAGTTCTCAATGGTGTTCTGTTGTTGGAGGACTTGTGTCCTTTTCCTCTTAGCCTGTAACAATGGAAATGAAATTATTTAAGAAACAACAACTGGTTCAACCAATATTTACCTGGATGTGGTTGTTGGATCACTTACAGGTAGCTTCACTGCGGTTGGTTGCTGGACAGCAGGGTCCATCTGACTTCCAGCAGTGTTTTTTCCTTTTTTCACACTCTTCTTCTTGTATCCCGTCTCTGCAAGAGATTTATGCCTTGATCCCTTAGGTCGCCCTCGAGGCTTCTTCTTGGATATAGGATCCTTCACTGCTGTTTGTGAACTGGTGTTCCCTTCTCCCACCACAGGCTTAGAAACAGACCCATGGGTCTCAATTGCCTGAGGGATGTTTGACCCAATTTCTGAGGATGGTAACAGGGTCCTGGGCATGGTGGGCAGACATGGTTGAGTTGCAAGGAACTTATCTATGCTTACCTGAACTTCCAAACGAAGTTTTTGAAGAGATTGCACAACTAGATCGCGTGTAGCCTTGTCCTGAACAGATGAAGCAAGGTCACAAATGGGCAGGAATTCTGCCATCAAGTTATTATATGTCTGAACAGCTACATTCTCAGTGGGATCGTGGTAAGCCACCTTCACCCGAGTATGTTTCCTACTTATGTCTTTTCGCCAGCGCCGGAGAACATATTTGGGTGGAATATCAAACACCAAATTTTGATCATAGACTCGGATGACATGCCTACATAGAATCCCGAATGTTTCAAACTTCCTACAATCACAAGAGACCTCCTTTGTAACTGTATTAAAGAGTACAGAGTAGAATCTCCTCCTATCAGTGATCACCTCTTCATTCTTCCCTTCGGGAATGATCCAAACCCTGTCTTCAAGTAGATATTGAATAATGTTCCCTCCCAAATCACGCTCTTCCCTCCCGGAGCAACGCATGAGTCGACAACACTCAATTTGAATCTCCTGAAACTTTGTATCAGTGTAAATGTCGTGGAAGAATTTCTCTACATGAAAGTCACTTACAAGACGTCTACGATATTTGCCACACCTAGCATCAGCCTCATTCTCAGCTTTCACACGCCTCGCCATGGCCCTTGTGTACTTCTCCGGAAATTCGTACAGCCTTGTTTTCCGATTCACAAACCCGTCGAAGAAACTATTTATGCTTTCGACCCTTTGTGTTGTCTTCATCCCTGCCCAAAAGTGTTCTTTCATAAAAGCTGAGACCCACATATGCCTTTCATCATACAATTCAGATAACCAATCATTCTCCTCTAGCTCATAAGTGGTCATTAATTCTCCTCATCTACGCTCAAACTCAGCAACGGTGAAGCTTTCATATATAAGGGTCTTAAGTGGACTTTTAAAATCTGCATAGCTATATCAAGTGCAACATGGAATTATGCAAATATTCAGAACATAATTCATTGAGAACAAAATGCATTCAAAAGAAAATGCATTCAGAACAAAGTGCATTCAGGCAGTATGTGTTCTGCCTTGCAACAGGGCTGCCCATTACCAGCATGTAATTAAATAATACTTACTACCAGTAACAAAAGAAGATCATCAAATCAGTAATACTTTCTACCATCACAATTAATTAAATAATAAAGATCCATCCCTCACTGATATAAAACAATACAAAACAACAGCAGAGGGGGTGATATGATTGCTATGATGCAAGCAAATCACAACAACTCACATATATGCTACACCAACTGTTTTCACCCATTAATTAGAATGAAATTGCACAAACATATAAACCTAAGTTAGAATGTATACTTACTGTTCACAACTCCCCAACTTGTCTGGGATTTTCCTCATTATGTGCCAAATGCACCACCGATGACGTGAATTAGGCATAACTTCTGCCAGAGGCTTCCGCATAGCCGCTGCTTGATCTGTCAAAATTGCACCCGGTTGTCTGTCACCCATGCATGATAGCCATTTCCTAAAAACCCAAGCAAATGTGTCTGAATCCTCGTGTGAAATGAGGGCACATCCCAATAATATCGATTAACCATGGTGATTAACGCCTACGAAGTTGGCAAACGGTAGCTCATACTTGTTTGTTATGTAAGTGGCATCAAAGAAAACCACGTCGCCAAATTCTTCATAAGAAACCCTACTACGAGTGTCAACCCACAGTACGTCCTTCAACCGGCCTTCACCATCTAATCTGTGTGCATGATAGAAATTCTGATTATCCGCTTGCATCTTATCAAAGTAGGCCATCATTGCAGCTGCGTCACCACCTTCCATTTTCAACCGCTTCTCCTTGTAGACTTCATGTTGTAGGTCCTTTACACTAGGAAGGTTATCCTCCCCAGTCTCAGTAGCTATACACCCATGTGCTTGCCTTACAGGAACACCTTCATCATAGAAATTCAGTAGTTGCCTTCTTACATTGGATGTATACTTCTTCATTCGATATTCCTTCACCAACTTAGCATCACTTGGTTTGGGGGTATGGTTATCTTGTTCGGTTTTCACCTTCCTTATAGCCCACAACCCATCATTATCAATCCCGGCATATAACATGGCACCACATTCACATTTCTTAGATGTTCTTTTGGCACGCTGCAGTATATCTTCTCCAATTTCACCGTTAACCACACCACCTGTGCCACACAACTCCATTGCCTTGGCCCTTTTCTTGGCCTCCCTCCTTGCCCTCATATCAGGTGGGCCCCAACACTCACACTTCCATGTGGCACCTCTCCTCTCCTTTTTATTCTTCGAAAATGCAGACGAAACTCTAGTTACTCCAAAGCCTTTCTGCTCTGCATATTCCTTGTAGTAGGTTTCTACATCTTCAAAGGATTTAAATACCATTCCTAACTTAGGAGACTCAACATAGGAGTACATGCTCACCTGGTTGGTTGACACAATGGTCTCCACAGTCTCAATGGTTTTCACTGGAGACAAGGCAGCTAGTCTCTTCTCAGCAGAGCTTGGTACAGTCAGTTGCATACATTCCATATAGGGGAGTTTTATGCTTTGGGTGTTGATTTTGAGATGGTAGTGGTTGTAAAGATGAAGAAACTAGCTGATTACAAGCAGGTTTTCGATCATTTCTTGTCGGCTTTCCCCCCTTCTTGTTTTGTAATACCGTTTGAGGACTTGAAGCGTCGAGATTTTATATGCAACTACCTTCAACTCGATTATTTTCAATGCCTGATTTTGGATAAGAAGGGTACGGATATGAAGAAGAACATTCTACTTCATGGAAATAGGTTTGTGGGTGATTATGGAGCCGATGCCTTTCCCTTCACTGATGAGAAGCTGCAGGAACTTCAAGCAGATGAAGAACCGAGATGGAAAACTTGTTCCACTAACAACCTTGTGGGACTTTTGAGGTGCAAACTGTCTGATGTTCTAAAAAAGACCAATGCAGAAGATGGTTGTGGCACGGTGACTATCTCAGACCTCAATAACAAGGATTTTGTTGGGTTGTTCTTGTGTATCAAAGGAGATCTCATTCCCAAGCTCAAGGAGGTATATCAACACTGCAAAACTCACCACAAGTCATTTGAAATTTTGCTGGTCTACATGCCCATGTTGGACTCTCTTGACCCACAAAATTACAAGTTGTTTGTTGATAATCAGCTGCAGAAGCACAATTTATCCTTGTGGTATATGCCCTTTGATAATTCTGTAAGCCGCAAGCTCTATCGACTTGTTTGCCCCTTAGAAGATGAGCTTATCATTTTGGGAACCCAGGATGGATCTATTGATCCTTATGGCCGAGAAGTATTGATCACTTTTGGAATTAATGCTTATCCATTTACTAGAAAGGAACTAGTCCAGCGGGAAGTAAACAAGTTCAAAGAACTCACCTTGGAGACATTGCTGGTGTATGAGTCACAGAGTTACCTTCTTAAAGGAAACACAAAGATTCCTGTGGCAGATTTGAGGGGCAAGAATGTACTTCTTTGGATGAGCTCTCTTTCTCCCAGTAATATTTCTTTCTATCATAAACTATTATTATGGTACAAAAACAATCGGACAAAGAGTCCTGATTTTGAAGTGGTATTTGTTCGCGAACATAATTCTGCTGCAAATGGATGATGATTTAGAACTGTCTGAAGTAATGCCATGGTTGGTATGCCCGTTTATCGCTGACCACTCAGCTTCCATAGAGAAGAAACTATTTCCAGATGGGGGCATGCATGGTTATGATGCCCTTGTTGAGTTTGGAACAGATGGCCTGGTTTGTTCGTTTACAGCTGATGAAGAGCTTCTAGATATTGGTGTTGATGAATCTGGAAAAATTCCATTTGGTCGTTCTAATCTGCGCCGCAGTGCAATTAAGAATCTTCGTGGCCCCCTGTTGTGCGACAGCGGAAGCAAAGGTCGAAAACAAACAAGAAAACAATAAAGAAATTCAATGCAAACAATAAGAACAACACCAAGAATTTACGTGGTTCACTATCGATGTGATAGCTACGTCCACGGGCACCGAGATCGAATGATTTCACTATAAACTGCAAAGATTACAAAGATGATTCTTGTATTTCTCAAGAACGGCTTTCACTCTGTCTCTCTTCACCCTAATACTGATATTAGGGAGGTTTTATATTAATCCCTAATTAAAAGATACTTGGGCAAAAAGATAATAAAATAAGATAACCTAAAACCGCAAAATCCGCGTTCCGTATTTTTCCTTCTCCGCCCGGTCAGACCGGGCAAGGTCTGCCCGATCGGGCGCGAGAAGAAGACTCCATACGAATGCTTCAACGTATCCAACCCCCACCGCCCGGTCAGACCGGGCAAGGTCTGCCCGATCGGGCGAAGGCTCGCCCGGTCGGGCGAAGGCTCGCCCGGTCGGGCGCGAGAGCAGCTTCTTCAACGAATTTGCCAGGCACCTCTTCTTCTTCCGCCCGGTCAGACCGGGCAATGTCCGCCCGATCGGGCGGACAAAGCTACGAAGTACGAGTCACCTAATATACTTATCAACAATCTCCACCTTGACGAGAACTCGTAGTCAGCAAACGACCCCATCAAGACATAGTGAAAAAACATCTCAAGCCAAACCTGATGCAGGACTCATGCATAAGCCATACATCCCGATAAGTCTTCAACCAAGACCCATCACATACTCGTCTCCAAGTATAACAACTCATAATGCTCCACCTGCATCACAAGCCCCGGGCAAGCTCCACCTTAAGGCCAACACACCTACACCAGGAGCTCCCCAACTTCGCCCCTCAGGGCCTACTACATCACGTAGTAATCAATATTTAGCAAGTCTAAGCAATGTTTAAACTTGCTAAACGGAACAGGCTTAGTGAAGAAATCAGCCGGGTTGTCAGCAGTCCCAATCTTCTTCACCTTAATCCTCTTGTCAGTACGTAAGAAATGATACCTGACATCAATGTGCTTCGTCCGATCATGGTGTACTTGATCTTTAGCTAAGCAAATCGCACTTAGACTATCACAATACACTGTAGCAAAATCCTGTGCAATACCCAGTTCACCTACTAGGCCTTTGAGCCAAATAGACTCCTTAGCTGCAGAAGTTAGAGCCATATACTCAGCTTCAGTAGTTGACAACGTAACTGATGACTGCAATGTAGACTTCCAACTAACCACAGAACCACCCAAAGTGAACACATAACCAGTCACAGACCTCCTGGTATCCACATCAGCTGCATAATCAGAATCACTGTACCCAGTGACCAAGCATTCCTTATCATTCCCGTACACAAGACCAATATCAGCTGTCCCTCTCAGGTAGCGAAAAATCCTTTTCACCCCTTGCCAGTGTTCCCTCCCAGGTCGAGCCATAAACCTGCTTACAACACTAACAGCATGCGCAATATCCGGCCTAGTACAGACCATAGCATACATCAAACAACCAACCGCGTTTGCATATGGAACTCTAGACATATAAGACAACTCCTCCTCTGATTGAGGTGACATAGACAAAGACAACTTACAACTAACAGTAGTTGGCGTACTTATAGGCTTCGATTTTTCCATCCCAAAACGAGACAGAATCTTTTCAATGTAGCTTTTCTGAGTCAAGAAAAGCTTACCTCTAGCCCGATCCCTGTAGATCTCCATACCCAAAATCTTCCTAGCTGCACCCAAGTCTTTCATGTCAAACTCCGAGTTAAGCATCTCCTTTAATCTAGCAATATCAGATTTATTCTTTGTGGCAACCAACATGTCATCAACATATAACAAAAGATAAATCATGGAACCATTATCCAGCTTACTATGATACACACAGCAATCATATGAATTCCTGTCAAAACCTTGTGAAACCATAAAAGAATCAAACCTTTTGTACCACTGTCGGGGGGATTGCTTAAGTCCATACAATGACTTTAGCAATCTGCAGGCATAGTGTTCCTTTCCAGGAGCTTCGAATCCTTCGGGCTGCTTCATCAGAATCTCCTCCTCCAAATCGCCATGAAGGAAGGCCGTTTTAACATCCAACTGCTCCAGCTCAAGATCAAAATGTGCTACAATTGACAATAACACACGGATAGAAGTATGTCGAACCACAGGTGAGAATATCTCAACAAAGTCAACCCCTTCTACCTGACTGAACCCCTTAGCAACTAGCCTAGCCTTAAAACGTATTTGCTCAGTTTCCGACAACCCTTCTTTCTTCTTGTAAATCCATTTACAACTCACAAGCTTCCTCCCTTCCGGTACCTTTACCAGTTCCCACACTCTGTTCTTGTAAAGGGACTGCATCTCTTCACCCATTGCGGCAAGCCATTGCGCAGACTCACTACAACTAATTGCTTGTTTATATGTGGCAGGTTCAAATGACTCTACATCATCAGCTACACTCAATGCATAACCTGTCATCGCATCAACACAGTAATTTCTTCCCTCCATCTCTTCAATCAATCTAACAGGCTTCTTGATAACTCGTTTAGGCATCTCAAGAATGGTGTCAGGTTGACTAGATGACCCCTGATTAGATTGCTCCACCTCATCCCCAGAGTTAGAATGAGTAGGAGTAATCTCAGGTTCAGGAGTACCCGGCACTGGAACATCAGCATCATCATCAATATATTGTACCCGAGGTAAATCAGCAATGGTAGACTGATGTACCTCAAGTACCCCATCTGTCTGTAATAAATTGTCTCCTTCCCTTCTCAAATCTGAAATCTCTGCATTTTTAATTGAATACATGGTGTTTTCATCGAAAGTAACATCCCTACTAAGAATGACCCGACCCTCCGAAGGTGAAAAAATTCTAAACCCCTTCACACCATCCCCGTACCCAACAAAACACCCCTTCTTGGCTCGTGGATCCAGCTTACCCTCAATAACATGATAATAAGCAACACAACCAAAAATCTTCAAATTCGAAAAATTAGGCAACTTACCACTCCAGATCTCAAACGGAATTTTGGAATCAATTCCAGAATGAGGACCCCTATTAATGACATAACAAGCTGTTAACACAGCTTCACTCCAGTACCTCCTCCCAAGCCCTGCATTAGAGAGCATGCATCGGACTCTCTCTAGCAGTGTCTGATTAACCCGTTCTGCTACACCGTTCTGCTGTGGTGTCTTCCTGACAGTATGATGCCGACCTATACCCTCATCTGCACAGAACTGATTAAACTCGTCTTTGCAAAACTCTAGCCCATTGTCCGTTCGTAGCTTCTTGATCTTCCTTCCTTGTCGATTTTCCACCAAAGCTTTCCATTGCTTGAAAACTTTGAAGGCCTCATCCTTTGACTTAAGCAACCTAAGCCATGTGTATCGGGACTTGTCATCAACAAATGACACAAAATAGTGGTAACCTCCCATACCTTCAACTCTAGATGGACCCCAGCAATCTGAATGGATGTAATCGAGCA